AAAAGGAAACTAAATATTATACAATAATATTATATCTAATTATAGCTAACACGCCTATGTTCTTGTATGGTCCATCTCAAATCGAGAAAGACTGGAGTTGCTGTGCATAAAATTAATCTTGTGACATGAATAATGCAATTGTATCTTTTTCTAATTTTAAATCGATTACAAACAACTTCCAAACATTTCTTTTAATACACTTTGGTGGTTGTTTTTGGTTGAAATAGAAGAGATAGGAGGAGTTGAGTATTGAACACATCTATCTCTGTTTAGTCCTCATTTTCCAAAATTCTTTTTTTTAAAACTTAATTTTAATTACATTTTTTATTGGATCCACAATTTTTATCAACTTTTTAATCATATATTTCATCAAATTTTATCAAAAAATTTAATCTAAATGTATATAATATCTCTTAATCTATGGCTCTATTTACATAGTTGATTGTCGAATAATGCAAAAATGGGAACCGGATATGGTTTTAATTGAGAAAAAACAAAAATCCAAATCCCATATTAGGGATTTTTGATGAATTTTATTTTTTGTTAAACTTTTGGTGTGTTCTTCGTCTGTGATTGGGAGAAGCTTGTCTGTGGAGTGATGTTTTAGTCATTTTTGGGGTTTCTTTTCCTTTAGTTATGGATTATGGATTTTATTTATTTGTTGCTTATCTTTTATTTGTCAAGTGCAATTTTTTCTACAAAACTTACTCTCTTGTTTTCCAATTTTTTTCATTATAATAGATATATGAAGATGTGGAAACTCCTTGGGCTTATTCCCAATCCATGTCTCACGGCTTACACATTGCCCCAAGAGAAATGGTGTGCCTTTGCCCTTTAGTGATTTCAACCCTGATTCTTTCTCCAATTCATTCCATCACATTGCTTACCTCAATCTCGTTAATTAAAATGTGCTTCTGCAAATGTTCAGCAGAAAGACAAAGCTGTTTAATTTTAATTCCCTTATTACACATTCCCTTAGAAGATGGCTGGTAAAGACTAATATATTATCCTCGTCCTAATATCTCTCATAAACGCAAAAGTGAAAGTGACACATTAATTTTATATCTTCC